AGTAACTATAAAACATTTGTATATCACCACTTGCCTTGATAAATTCGGATGACGAAACGTGTTGCCAAAAGCTAAGTACTGTTTCTGGTGCCTACTTTACCCTCTCTCTCTGTCTCTCTGTCTCTGTCTCTCTCTCTCTCTCACACACACACACACACACACACACACACATATATATATATAGTCAACCACAAGCAGTCTGTTCCGCCGTATCACAGCTCATCAATGTAGCTTGATGTTCGATTGCTTCAAGCTGGGATCGCAACCCGAGTGATTTGATAACTTACCTCTAAACGTATTTTTCTCTATACGGAATACTCCAGCGGCTTGGAGAACTCAATTCCTACTTGAAGAGTAAGGCTTAATAGCAGTAGAGGCCGATGTTTTTTAAAACCCCTATAATATATATAAACATATAAATATCTCAGGATGCACGGTGGAGTAATTGAGAGCTGAGTTCTCCTCTTCTCCCTTCAGCTATGGGTAAATAGCAGGACAGACCGGGTTCTATAGCCTTGGATGGCAACTGGTCTAAGAGAAGGACAACTCTGAATTCAAAACCTGCGGAGGATCGTTTGGGGACGTTGTGGCACGTAGTGCACCAGGTCTCTGTATTCGACCCTTCGAAAAGTGTGGTTGGTTGGCGAGTGTGCAACTAGTACGCAAGGGGTTACAGAGGGTTGAGAACAAGAGTAAAGCGGCGTCTAAGAGTAAAGGAATAGATACAGAGAAAGACGGCGAATAAGATCAAGGCATTAGAAGATGTCGCTTGACATTACACTTGAATATTTGAGGATTATAGTTATCAGGGAAGCAAGCAAGAGGAAGGGATTTAGACACAGGGAGTGTGAGAAAAGAATCTCTTTGGGTAGCGGTCACACTTAACTGTTTCGAGAGTGAACGTGTGGGGCTGAGATACCAAACTAGTAACTCGCTTAAATTCATGCAGTCGGAGACGTAGCTTGCCGGAACAGTTGCCGTGAAATAGTTCCTCGTAGAAGAGACAGAGGGAAGCCGCGGCACGTCTTGTTAAAATGACTGTAGATGAAATGCCAGATCAGGACCCATCACATCACATATCCCTCTCCGGAGTTTGTCCTCGAGACGTACAGCGGGGGCACCAGACCATATATGGCAGCTATATTCCATGCAAGGACGGATGGTTGGTTTATAGATTTGAAAGATGGTGTCAGACAAGAAAAACTTTCTGGCACGATACAGAGAAGCAACTTTCTTTGTGATAAATGAAGCTATTGATTCAATATATTTCTTCCACCTCATGACAGAGGACAGCATGAGACCAAGCAGGCACAGCGAGGCGCTCTCGTGAAATTGGGCATTAGCCATTCTGGTCTGGAGTTATGAGTATGTTCGCTTTCCAACAAGGAGTCGCTTGTTCGAATCTCACCAAGGTTGGCTTATTAGGAAGGTGACCTCTTGATGTAATCGGCCTGGAGGAATCGACCCCAGTGTGCAGCACCTTTGGAAAATGCTTGAAAACTGTACCACGTGAGGACCCAAGCCATGTGAGTGAAATTAGGTAGGCTGAACCCATGGGAGACGTCAGTGTTACTAGAATGGAGACACAAGTCATCGTGACTGAGTGTTTGCACGTACCGGCCTTGTTCAGACTGCTGATAAGCCCAAATAATGCATTCCTTCTAAAAAACGGTAACTAATTTTGCTCACTATACTTAAAGTATGAACCACAGCTGGGCTCTTTGGATTTTGAGTAAAAACAAGTGTGCCTGACCAAGACGTCTGCAAGGAGAATGGACTAGACGCCTTAGATAACAGGTTCGTTCGGATACGAACGACCAATTATCATCAACAATACGAACAACAAAAATCTATGTAATATCAGGGGCAGAGGAGGAATTTAAACGTTACTTTACATGAAGATCAATCAAAAAAGGACAAATGTAAATCATTAGAACTAGATTGGCAATTAGGTTTCACCGGTTTTCTCTTGCACTCGCTCGATGCAACCATTAGTTTTATTCTCATAATTTATTTTCTCGTCTGTAGAGCTCTCTTCCTAGTTCTTCATATCCAGCCTAGAAATATAGGGTGACCCCCAAAAAACGGAACTTTTAACAATCCAATAAAACCAAGAGTGATGGAAGAAAAATATTTTATTCATAGTAATTGAAACCTTAAATCAAGCCATTTAAGACGCAATAATAGAATTTTCATTTTTTTTAAAAATTACGTCCTGTAGATGGCGTCCTCCTGTACGAATGCATTCTTGAAATCTGCTGTTGAGATTCCTCATTGACTGCTGCAACATCTTAGCTGGGATACTGTGAATTTCATCTTGAATTCTAAATGGCGAAATGTTTACTTGCTCAAGGTCACTTGTCTCGCAGTGTTGCCACTTGCCCATGTCTAGCAATACGCACTTCAAAAATTCCCCTTTTTTTGGGGTCACCCTGTATAAACAATATACATTTTCGCCAAATTCTACATTCTTTAAAGCTATGCCTTTATTACACTTTAACTCACATCTGATCGCTAAAATCTTCGCATTCTCTATCGCTCTCTGTATACTCATGCGTCCAAGTGGCATTATAGTATTGCTTGGAAGGAAATGATAAAAAAAAAAACTCCTTGAATATATTTAAAATTTTTCTAGAAAAGAAAGTTTGTCATTGTAGCGATGACAGCAATAAATATGTATCGATTTTTGGTTTTCCTTCTTGGGTCATCTGTTTTGATAAGGGTATTATCTTTTCGATTTAATCTTATTAACAGGATTAAAGGCTTTGAAATTGTTTCATAATCCCAATGACGTTAGCTAAAATTATTAATCTTCCTAAAAATGAAAACAGTACTCAATAATCAATGAGGGATAGAAATATATACACTAAACAAACAGTTGTACTATTTTTCTCCCCAATACGCAAAACAATTGTTTTCCCTCTCGCAATCTTTCTCAAATGTACAAATATTTGTTGTCTTGCATCCATAAAGACGCACGCATAGCCACTTTCCTTCACATATAGATACACACAAACACAGACACACACAAACACACATACGCACACGCTTGTTTCACAGCATATCAGTAGGTATTTCACGAGAGTTACATAATGTTACAAAACTATTGTTGGCAACCCAAAAACCGAACCAATGCAGGCCTGACACAAGGTCTGAGCTAAATGTGGATTTCCTCAGAGTTATATGTGTGTATTATCAGAAAGAATTGCCGATCAGGGAATATGCAATATATACAAAAACAATATATATGGGAAAAATACTTAGATTTTACGGTCGGCTGCGACTAAAAGTTCCATGTGGACTTCTGCGTGGTCAAATTCATTATCGCAGAATGAACATTATATTGTCTGAAGCACTCATTTTAAGGTGTATTATATTGTTTTTTATATCCTGACATATATAAATTGCTGGTCAAAATGTTAAGGCCAATGAAAATAAAGAAAAATATACCATTTCCGATGTTAGACTCCACCAATTCATTGAGGCCAGATTCGAAAAATGAAAATAAGAAAAGGAAAAATAAAAGTAAACTTTTAGGGGCATTTAATTGGTAAACTTTGAATACTGAGAAGTTAGGCTAAATCCTAGCTGATCAAAAGTTTAAGACCATATATATATATATATATATATATATATATACATATATATGTGTGTGTGTGTGTAGTCGAATATATATATATATATATATATATATATATATATATAATTGGTGATTAGTAATCGTGGTTCAGGAGGCACATTCTTATGGTTACAGAGAACTCAGTAAGAGTTCAACCCCAGAATATGTGATCGAGCGGTGTTATATTGAGTCGGATTTGCAATCCCTTCGTCAACGAGGCCCGGTGGAACAGTTGGTACGATTTTTTGCTTGATAACCTAAATTGTCAGACCTAACTGTCATATATATATATATATATATATATATATATATATATATATAGATAGATAGATAGATAGATAGATAGATAGATAGATAATATTAGTGGTCAATATATATATTTTATATATATATATATATATATATATATATATATATGTGTGTGTGTGTGTGTGTACGCAACGATATAGAAAATAGGGAAAGAATCGTTAGGTTAATAATTACAGGTTTTAGCATTTTTGTTTTATTTTCAAAAAAAGTGCACAATACATAAGTAGAGCCTAAATTATAATTATTTTTTTATTTTTAAATATATATATATTTATTTATTTCTTAAAATATGTATATTTATTCTAAAATATATATATATATATATACATATATATATATATTTATTTATATAATTATATTATATATATATATATATATATATATATATATTTATATATATATATATATTGTTAATTTATTTTTTGAATATATATATATATATGTATATATATATATAATATAATTATATATAATAAATATATATATATATGTATATATATATATTTAAGAATAAATATATATATATATATATTGTTAATTTATTTTTTTTATATATATATATATATATATATATATATATATTTATATATATATATATATATATATATATATATTTATATATATATATATATTTTGTTAATTTAATTTTTGAATATATATATATATATATATATATATATATATATTTCAATACGATACAATTCAGGTAGAGCTCTATGTCATACACAGGGCAAGAATATAAGATAACCCTAAAATTTTAATTTATTTCACTGTAATAATAATCACAACACAATTCAACAGACCTACAAATTCAAAAATAAAATTCTTCGTTTTGGTAGAATTCGATCATCGTTGTTTCTTACTAAATCATATTTTATTTACTTCTATAATAATAATATATTTTCTTCCATATATATATATTTTTTTTTCTAGATGTTGTTTATGTATATATCTCCACCAAACTTTTTCTCAGACGACATCTTCCAGAACTTTGCTTTCATGGATGTCTAAGTTTTGCCTCTGTACTTACGGTTTAGTTAAAGTACATATAGAAACCAATTTCCTTCTTTAG